CTTCAAGGCAGATAAAGCACTGCCCTTTTCAAGAAGCTTTGACTGGTGCTCCTATGACCAAAACAACTTTTTTCCACTTTGAGATTCTGCACATACACCTGTGTCCATGTTGTCTCCCCAGTTAGAAGTAACCTCCTTGAGGGCAGGGACTGATCCACTTTGGTCTTTTATCTCTAGTACTTAACACTGTACCTTATACATACTAAGTGCTTAATAAATAATTAGATTATTGGGACTTTCCAGGTAAGTATCTGCTTTAAAATCCTGTCTCTGTTACATCATTCTAGGAAGTTTAGTTATGAGTTTCAAAATTACCTCATGAGGCATCTCCTCTTAAAAGGCAGACCTTTGGTTTTGATTTGATAGAAACTGCAAAGAAAGGAGAACTGTCCAAAGTGGGAGTCAGCTGCCTTCTCAGAGGTCCCCTTCAAGAGGTTAGAAGACCAACTGTCAAGTATGTTCTAGTAGGAATTCCTTTCAGGTTCAGCTTAGACTAGATGCCCACTTAAAATCAATAATCTCTATTATTCTGGCTAAGTGAAAAATACCACATTATTGGCAGAATACTTTAAGATCCACCCCATACCATCATTCCCAAGACATAATGCAGTCCTTTAAAAACTAGCCAACTGGGGCAGCTAGGTGGTGCAGTGGACAGAGCACAAGTCCTGGATTCAGGAGGACCTGAGTTCATATCTGACCTCAGACACATAACAGTCACTAGCTGTGTGACCCTGGGCAAGTCACTTAACCCCATTGCCTAGCCAAAAAAAAGAAAAAGAAAAAGAAAAAGAAAGTAAAAACTAGCCAATTACAATCCATAATTCCCTCTCCTAGATTCTAACTACCCTTGAAGGCCTAGCTCTTGTCTTAGCCCCTCCACGAACCTTTCCCTTACAATGTCCATCCATTATTTTTCAGTCTAGAACACTCCAAATGACTGAGTGTCTAATCTGCCCAGTTAGAGGTTTTATTATTGTTCAGTCTTTTTTTCAGTTGTGCTTGACTCTCCGTGACACCATCTGAGGTTTTCTTGGCAGAGACACAGCAGTGGTTTGTCATTTCCTTCTCCAGCTCATTTCATAGATAAGGAAACTGAGGCAAACAGGTTAAATGACTAGTAAATGTCTGAGGCTGTATTTGAACTCAGGAAAACCAGTCTTTCTGACTCCAGGCCTGGAGCTCCATGCACTATGGTGCCCCCTAGCCGCCCAGTCAGAGCATCCAATCCTTAAGAGCAGATACTCTGAAGCTTCCACAGCTTCTCTGGAGTCACCTTCCAAACTGGAGGTGCTTGACAGATACTTGTGACTTGATCCCAAATACAGAAGGCCTGGACTTTGGATTCTCTTGTCAGTGGGAACAGATTTCTTTCCATTTATGATCTACTCTTCTCTCATCATCTGTGACCAGCAAGAGTACCCGTTTCCCAGGGGCTGGATGGCACTAGAGTGCAACACAGAAAAAGGTTCCAGGAGTCACTCGAGGTCAGGGCCTAGGGTGCCCTAGAGCGCCAAGCCCTAGGGAAGAGCTGCTGTGCAATCACTGCTGGTGGGACCTCTGGGATGAAGGGGGTACCCCAGAGCAAAGTGGGGGGGAGGGGAGAAGGAGTACCAAGCAAGCTGTTGAGTCAGCCACCCACAGACAAAGCTGGGAAATGGAAATCTAAGGTTAAAAAAACCCAAGAAAACAAAGAAAAACAGCACAAAGAAATGAACAGAAGCATGGGGGCAGAGTGTTGGTAATTTAAAGGAACAGCCTGGATAACCACATTTTAACCCAGGATGACCTACATCTAAAGAACAGGGCTGAAATAGCTCACGACGAGCAAAGCAAAGCGCACTGCACAGAGTCTGTGTGCGGCAAACATGTCTGGAGGATGTCAAAAAATTCCCAGCATGACAGGAGGCAGCATCCTTAATCAATCAAATGCTAATCCAATCAACTCAATCCAACCTTAATTAAGGATGGGCAGCCTTTGTTGTTTCTAGGTATCTTTAGGTCACATTTGTTTCCAAAATCACTACATTTTACAGATTTGGGAATTCTCCCCTAACCGAGGTCCAGGACTGAAAGCAAAAATGGGACAGGAGCAGTCTTATGAAAGGTCAGAAGAAGTGCTCAATTACGATGACCCATAATTCATCTATACTATACATTCACAATCACTAGTTGCGCTTCAACCATTTTTTTAACTGGCTGATTCTCATGACGATTTTCATCTTCTGTGAGGTGGGAGAATAAGGTGGGCAGAAAAGCTGAGATCTGAAGTGAGAGCCACAGAATGAGCAAGAGGGCAGAGCTCTCTGTGACAGCTGCTCCACAAGGATCTGGAAAACCCTCCTCCTGAGTCCTCATCAGCATACCAAGCCCAGGTTAGCACAGAGAGACAGACAAGAAGGTCTTTGGACAGTGGGACCCAGGCAGGTAAAGATCCCAGACGTGGCACAGGGGCCTGACCTTGTGCGGGTGCAGGAAGCACTGCCATACGGCTGCTCCCCACCAATGCGGGCTCACCTGTCCAAGTTAGACAGGACAGGGGATCTGTGGTTGGGCTGGCAGCCTAGGGCAAGGAACAGCAGCATAGGCTGTGTATTATGGAAGGAGCCATTATGATGACAAGGACATTCAAGACACAAATACAGAAGAAAATGACTCCAAAGCATTTAAGCAAAGTCTCAAAAAACCCCCACAGATTTAGCTCAAGTTCAAGTAGAATTCCTGAAAGAGATGAAGCAAAAGTTAAAAATAAAAAGAACATTAAAAAGATTTTTATAAATGAAATAAGTGAACTAGAGGAAACAACTGAAAATGAAACAAGGGAGCTGTGGGAAAGCTGGAGAAGAAATGAGAGTTATGGAAGGAAAAGCTTGAAAGAGAATTAACAGCTTGCCATAAAACTTTACCCAAGCAAGACTCCTTGAAAAGTAGCATGAACCAAACAGAAGTCAATGACTCCATGAAATATGAAGAAACATTAAAAGAAAATCAAAAGACTGAGAAAAAATAAAAGTGCAAGGTATCTCATATTGAAAACAACTGATCTAGAAAGAAACCAGGAAGACCTAAGTTCAAATCTGTCCTCAAACACTGTTTCTCTCAGTCTCCTCATCTGTAAAATGAGATGGAGAAGGAAATGACAAACCCACCAGTATCTTTATAAGAAAACTCCAAATGGGGTCAAGAAGAGCTGGATATGACTGAAAAACAACCGAACAACAACTTCCCGGCTCCAGGCCTAGCAGCCTAGCACTCTGTCCACTTTGAACGGAGCTGCTCCAGATCAGAGTGAGAGGATCCATGATAGCCCAATCCAGAGCTTCCAAATCACAAGAAAAAATACAGCAAGGAACTAAAAAATAAGACTTCTAGCACTGGGGAAATGCAATTCAGCATCAAGATGCAGCAGCCACCACTAGAATGGATAAGAGAGCTTAAAATACAGTTTTTCAGAAGGCAAAAGATACAGGTGTACAACCCAGAATAACTTACCCAGCAAAACTGAATATAATCCTGCAGAAGCTTAAAAAATAAGAGACCTTCAATGAAATAAGAGGACTTTCTAAGCGTTCCTTATAAAGACCAGAGCTACAAAGAAATTTTGAAATACGAACTTGGGAGGCAATATATGGTAAGTATCAATGAGTAATCCAGAGACTAAAAAGATAAATGCTATGTATTCATTTGTTATCTAACTAGCATAGTGTGAGACATCCAATTCACAGATTCCAGTCCAATCTTTCTCTCTGAAACAGGCTCTTCTTCTTAACTAATTCTATACTGGCATTAGCATTTTTTTCCTTGGTTCTATCCAGTGCTTCTTAAACTCTAGAATCGAGACCCAGAGTTTAAGTGCTGAAGGGGTCGAGAATGAAAAGTGTAAGAAGCCCTGCAATGGACCAACTCCGTGTATGATGTCTCTTAGCAACATCCATGGCTTCAATTTGATGTGATGAATCCCAACTCCATTATCTCCACACGCTCTTTAAAGCCCAACTCAAATGTTACTGCCTCATGGAGTTGTTTTTTTTCTGATTCTCCTCAGCCTGGACTAACGGCTCCTCCCTGAGGTAGCATCATAGCGGAAAGGACAATGCACTTGGAAGTAAATCGACTGATTTTACACAGTGCTTTACTTAGCACCTGTGTGACCCTGGGTAATTCAATTCCTCAAACATGTAATGCCTACTACACGCAGTTAGATAGAATAAGAGATAGAGAGCCCCGGATTTGGAGTTAGGAAGACTGCAGTTCAAACCTCACCTCCGATACTTGTTAGTGGTGTGATTTTAGGCAAGTCATTTAACCTCTGTCTGCCTCAGTGTTCCCATATGTAAAATGGAGATGATAATAATAGTATCTACCTCCCAGGGTTACGAGTATCAGATAAGAGAGTATTTATCAAGTGCTCTAAATAAATGTTAGCGATGATGATGATAATGTTAACATGAGGCTCTATGCTAGGCACTGGTGATACAAAACCAAAAATGAAAGAGACCTTACCCTCAAGGAGCCTCTTTTCTACTGGGGGAAGAGGGCACATACACAGGTAAGCAAAGTAAACTCAAAACTCAAGAAAGTAATGGGGGAAATCGGTGAAGGTTTCATGGAGGAGCTAGCATCTGAGGGTGTCCTTTAAGGAAGAAAAGGATTCTGGGAGAAGAGAGCTTGCAGGCCAGGCTTGGTGAATGGCCCCAGTGGACAATTTCAGTTGACGGGAAATCTAGTATTCATTTGACGGAATGGCTGGTTATCAATATGGTTTGATTCAAATACAAGAATTTGGGAATAAGAATAGTGTAAAATATGGTCAAAACGTCAGGTGGGAGCCCGATTGTGGACGGCCTTCACTGCCAGGGTAAGAAGTTTTTATTTTATGCTACAAGCAATGGAGAATCACTAGAGGTTTTGAGTCCAGCAACAAGCACTCCGACTCCAGACCCAGCTCTCTGCAAACAGGCTACACTTCTCCACCAAACCTTTATTAAGCACCTACTTACAAAGTGAAAGGCATAGGGCCGGGTGGGGCTGCTCCACGTGAGAAACCGCTAAGTCGGCCTAGGAAACGCCCAGAGTCTGAGGATGGACACGTTCCTCGGGCAGCGAGAGCAGGGATGGGAGCAGGGGTGACGTCAGAGCGCCCAGGGGCCGCCTACCCAGGGGTGAAAGCACAGGCTCTGGGGGCAGCGTCCATCCACGTGCTTCGCAGAAGCACAGCTGCCCCCTACCTGCCGGGGACGGACCGGCGGGGTTTTCAAGGCCAGCCCTGCCGCTCATCCCCCGAGGGACTCGGACCTCCAGGGGCCTGGGCTTCCTCCTCTGTAAAGGAGGAAGCTGGGGTGACCAGTCACCTCCCAGGGGCTTCTTCCTCTGGGCCTCAGTTTCCATATCTGTAAAAGGGGATGGGATAAGGGCGGCCTAAATGGCTTGCGAAGTGACCTAGTCTATCCCGGCCTCTGAAGCTTACACCTTGGATGACTGTGAGCCTCAGTTTCCCCTTCAGTAACATGGGGGAAGGGGGCCTGGGACGAGGGAAAGCGGTCCCAAATTGAATCCGGCCTGCCCAGCCACGCCGCGCCCGCCCTGCCCGCGACACGTACGGCATCTCGCGCTACCGGAACCGGAATGGCCTCCACCTCCTCCGAGACGCTCCCGCTCCGCCCCACGCTGGGGCGCTGTTCCGCGCCGGCCGGAAACTGGGGCCTTCTCCGCGAGGGCCAGGCGTACGCGCACGCGCATGCGTCCCCTACGTCGCCGACGTCAAAGGCGCCTTGCGCGAGGTCACGCTTGGGCCGCCAGCCCTGCCCTCTCGCCACTTCCGACTTCCGGTGGCGGTCGTTGCCAGGGTAACAAGACTGCGAAGGTGTTCGGGATCCGGGACTGAGGGGGAAGCTCGAGGCCCTGAAGTGAAGAGCGTCGGCGGCGGCGCTTTTGCCTCGTTCGTGACCCAGAGCTAGGTAAGAAGCCGGCCACGGCGGCCGCCGCTCGCGGAGGCCCCCGCGGGGGGAGGGGCAAAGGGCCCCCCCCAAGAATGACCCCGATGACCTCACCTGCGGCGAGGACCTCAGGCCCCTGGGGCCGCCGGGGTGCGGGGCTGCAACTCCCCAACACACACGTCCATCGCCAGCGCCTACTGTGTGCTGGCGGAACCGGCCTGCCTGGGGTGTCCTAGTGGCCAGAGCCCGGAGGATGCTCGGCAGCATCACTGAGCACCGTCGTCGTGATCGTCGGCATTACTGTTATTGTGTTGTTATTATATCCTCACCTGCATCAGTATTCGCGTTATTATTAATATTATCGTTATCATTATTATTACACAGAAATAGAGCATTCTCCTCACTCGCCTGGGAAGACAGGGCAGGGTCTAGGTCTGCCTGGGGTGGCCTGGAGCCAGATCTCCTGGCATCCTCATCTGCATGATTATTAATATTAATATTATTATCATTATCATTATTATTATACAGAAGTAGAGCACCCTCCTCACTCGCCTGGAAAGGCGTGGCAGGGCCTGGGTCTGGTCTAGGCCAGTACCTTTCTTTCCCTGGTATAGAAAGACCTCACTGATAACATGCCTTTTTATTGCTGATTTCATCATCATATTATTCCTGTGAGGTCATTGAAGGAAGGCACTTTACACACCTGAAGAGATGGGGATGGGATTTCACAGGGAAGAGGTGTGTGCTGGTCAATCAGTCATCTTCATGGTTATTGTCATTGTGATGATGCCTGCGAAGTAAGAAGCCGGTGGGCCTTGGATTTCCCTGGTCCAGGGACTGGTCTGGTGAGGACGCCCCCCCTGCAGTCTGGGGGGTAGTTCCAGGGTCACATCAGCCTGCCTCAGCCTCACCTGCAGCCACCCTATAAACGCTGCCTGTTATGTTGATGATGATGCCGAGATAAAGTGATGCATTAATGTCCGAGGTCATTAGTCACGTCACTGGCATCTTCTGGCCGCTACGCCCCAGCAGGGCACGTGCTCCGTTACAGTCCCACGGGGGCTTTTGCTAAAGACTCAGCTTCTCTCTCATTAGTTCCCAGCTTACCCTTGTTCCTGAGCCGCTGCCGCCACTGCTTCCAGTTCTTCATCTTAAAGCCTTCTGGGTCCTGGTCTCCAGCTGCAGTGAGGGATGTTTCCCCATCTTCTAGGCAGCATTTTAAATTTAATTTCAAAGTTCCCTTCTAGTGTTTGCTGATTTGCCTGGCTTCCTTCTGCAGGAAACCTTTCCTCCTTCCCCTTCGTACTCTCTGTCAATCTCTAATTTATCCTGTGCCTCTTATTTGTACATAGTTGTTTAGATGTTGTCTCTTCCATTAGACTGGGAGCTCCTTGAGGGCAGGGACTGTTTTTTGCCTTTCTTTGTATCCTCAGCACTTAACACATAGGAGGCCACTCTTCGGGAGCTCTCTCTCTTCTCCCCTCTTTATCTCATATCACAGCCGTATACCACTAATTCCTCCCTTAGCTCTGTCTCACATGAAGAGGTAGCCCTTCTCCTTTGCAAGGCAAAACCCTCTTCCAGCACAGGTGATTTGCACCCCATCCCTTCACTCCAAGAAGATTATTACCTCTGCTGTCATCCCAATCCAGCAAACATGTATTAAGCACCTACTGTGTGCTAGGCACTGAGCCAAGTGCTGGGGATACAATTGGTAAAAAGAAAGACAGCCCTTGCCCTGGAGGAGTTTACAATCTAACCTCTCACCTATCTTCCATGTCATCCTGTCTGCTGACTACTTCCCTTCTACAAGCAGACCTGTCCCCCATCCTCAACCCCCCCCACCTGTCCATCCCTTATCTCCCTGTAGTTTTTCTACCCTTTGTACTAAACTCAAGAAGATGGTGCTTTCGTTCTCTCTCCTCTCAATGTCTTCCTAACCACTTAAAATCTGGCTTCCAGCCTCATGGTTCAGCCAGCACTGCTCTCTTCACAGTCACCAGTGATCTCTTGTCAGATCAGATAACCTTCTCTTAGTCCTTGTGCTCGACCTTCCCTCACTGACGCTGTGGATTGCCCTCTTCTTGACACTCCAGCTCTGGGCTCCAGACCTTCCCTGTGGCTGTGGCCCATGCCTGGAACGCTTTCCCTCCTCACCTCCACCTCTTGGCGTCCCAGCTGAACTCCCACCTTTCTTACCCCTCTGGTGCCTTCCTTCCCATGGTTATTTCCTGCTTGGCCTGTCTTGAGCTTTTTTGCCATCGTTGTTTGCTGTCTGCCCCATCAGACCATGAGTTCCTTGAGGGTGGGGACTGTTCTTTGCCTTTCTTTGTATCCCTAGCACTTCGCTCAGTGCCTGACACATAGTGAGTGCTTAATAAAGGCTTATTGACTGACTGACTACTAGAGAGATGGGTCCCTCAAGGAAAGGCTGTTTTCAAAAACAATTGGGGGTGGCAGGGAGGAAGGATGGATTGAGAGGCCTCTCTTTGACAGGAAGATGGACTCCTAGAGCTCATGGTTTCCTGCTGGGAGAGACCTGAGGGGTCATGCTGTGCTCCTCCTTCCCCACCCCCTCCCGTTCAATGGAGCATGGGTTAGAGATGCTGCCTTTGAATTGGGGATCTGTTCCACTAAACCCCTGGCTGCCCTCATGGAACATTGCATGTCAGCTGTCCTGTCTGTTAGTGTGGGGATTCCTTTTGGGTGTGGGTTGGACCGGGGGCCTCGCAGGTCCCTTCCACTTCTCCAGGTCTGTGATTCTGGAGAGTTTCCTCAGCAAAGACTTCAGTACCCAAGTCTGCCTTCCCTTACTGGGTCAGGAGGCGTCAAGTTGAGTCAGCCAGTGAGCAAACTACCTACTGTGTGCCAGGTTCTGTGCTGAGTGCTGGGCATATAAAGAGGCAGAGCACGGTCCCCACTCTCGGGGAGCTCACAGCCTTATGGAGGAGACGTCATGAGCACAATGACATACAAACACCAGAGATGCAAATAGGATAAATTGGAGCGAATCACCAGAGGAGAGACACTAACCGAGTGGAACAAGCCACATCTCTTGTAAAAATTACTTGTTGGGAAATGAACATTGGTTTTCTCTCTCCTTCTTGCTATTAATGGTTTCTTGTCACCATTTATAAGCCTCTGTGTTTAAAGCACGGATTCTTAATTATAGTGACCCCAATTTGCAGTAGCCAGACTGTGACACCACATCCCTGTGGGGTCCTTCCCAATCTGGTGTAATAGGAAAATGTCAGCCATGCCGGCTGTGTCTTACAAATAGGGCACTTCATCCATGAGAAGTGACTATTATCTGTCTTTCCCTAGTGTAAAAAGCCTATATGCTTCAGGAAGGGGCAGACCATTTAGGCCCCCGAGGAAAGATCCAATGAGTCCTGAAGGGGACCCGACTCCTTGTATCGCCTTGTTGTGGAGCTTGAAATATCCAGTTTATTAGGGTAAATATATTTTCAGAAGTCAGCGCTAAGTAAAACAATGTTGGGAGCTGTTAGAGCGACAGCAGGATTGAGTGTCCCTCAGTGACGGCCTTCCCGGAAGCCTTTGTCAGGAATGATGAAGAAGGAAACCACCGCCAAAGTGTACCAGCCTTTTACTACGAATAATAACATTTTGAAGTTCTGTAGCGTCTCTCCTGCTAGCAGCTCAAAACCTTTCACACATCTTGCTTCAGCCTCTTCTCAAAGGACAAATATTTTAATGCCCATTTTGTAGATGAGGAAACAGGATTGAGAGGCTTTCTTAAGAGCCAAGCGCCACTCATTTAGCAGATGAGGAAGCTGGCCCAGCGAGGTTAAGTCCTTTTCTAAGGTCACACAGCTTGTAAGTGGCAAAAACCGAGCTTCACCATGGGCCTAAGACCCAAGTGCAGGGGTCTCACCATCACCTGCTTCTAGCTTGCCATCTAAGCCAGGTCTCCTGCTCCTTTGGCTTGGGCAGTTTCCACAACTGCTGTGCTTTTGTTTGGGTTAAATACGTTTTGCAGTGAGAAGCAAGCATATCAGCTGGAAGATAACTTAATGCCTGGCTGACTCTGTAACCTTTTTCCAGCCTTTCAGTGGGCAACCATGTTACAAATCTGAAGTTTCTATACGTTACTCTGCACTCAGTTATCTTCATCTAAGCCTTTCCATGTTTCTCTGTGATCCAAATTTATAACTCTTTATGGCAGTCTTACTCAGTTCACCCACATTTCTTAAGCACTGTGTCCTGCACTGTGCTAGGTCCTGGGGACCTGCTCAGGGAGGACAGCACGTCCTCCGCCATATGATGGTGTATAAAACACAACATGAGTTAGACGGGAAGGTGAAGAGACAGGCAGCGGGGACCCTCGGGGGAGGGGTAGTGTGGGCAGCGGCATTGGAACTGAGCTGCGAAGGAAACCAAGTGCTCCAAAGCGCAGGTGAAGGGGGACTGCATTCCAGGCAGGGGGACCAGCCTGGATAAAGGCAAGGGGGCTGGAGATGGAGCATTATGTGTAAGGACAGAGAGGGTCAGTTTGGCTGGACCTCAGCGTACGTGAAGAGGGATCCAGACGGTGAGACAAGTGCTAAGGATAGAAATACCAGCCAGCGTGACTTCACCTCTGCAGCCTCTCTCAGATCTGCCCCCTTCTCTCCTCTGACTCTGCCCCCACCCTGGTGCAGACCCTTATCACCTCATGCTTGGACTATTACAATAGCTGCTGGGCTGGGTGTCTGCCTACCTCAGGTCTCCCCCTCCCCACCACCTCCAGTCCATCCTCCATTCAGCCACTGAAGTGACCGTGTCACCTCCTACTTCTGAGCTCTTTGTCACCTGCCCCTCCTACCTCTCCAGTCTTCTTACACTTTCCTCCCCTAGGCATACTCTTCCATCCAGTGACGCTTCCTGGTGATCCCAAAGACAAGACACTCTTTTCTCAGCTCCAGCCATTTTCTCTGGCTGTCCTGCGTGCCAGAAAGCCCTCCCTTCTCTGCTCTGATGACTGACTTCCACTTGAAGAACCAGATAAAATCTCCCCCTCTTCCAGAAGCCTTCCCCAGCTCTTCCTGATTCCAGGGCCTTCCCTCAGGTGGCTATTTCCTTCTTACCCTATGGTTAGCTTGCTTCCACCAATAATGGTGAGCACCCTGAGGGCAGGCATTGCCTTTTGCCTTTTTGTCTCTCTCTCCCGCAGCCCAGTGCCTGGCACAGAGTAGGTGGGCACTTCATGACCTTTATTGACTGTGAGTGGACGTGTTAAACCCAAGGCTGTCAATCTTGAATCCCAGGGCCATGGCAGGATAAGACTTAGGAAGCTCAGATGTTAACATTTGGAGCCAAAAGGTTCAAGGGCATCCTTAGGGAGGAGTAGGTGAACATAGTGACCTGAGTAGAGGAAGTAAGCAGTTTGTACTGAAACTTAATGGTCACAAGGAGCCAGAAGTTGTTGGGCTGGGAGTGACACAGTCCTAGATTTTGGGTGCCGCCCTGAGGGTGACTGAAGGGGGAGGACCTGGAGGGAGGGAGGCCAGGTAGGAGGCTCCTGCGACATCCCAGGGAAGGGGGGAGGAGGGTCTAAACTAGCCTGTGGCCTGTTAGTGTAGAGGAGACATGTGGGTGATGAAAGGAAAGATTCCAGGATAACTCAGAGGTTGTGAACCCAGGCCTTTAGAAGAAGGGGGATGTGACCCTTGACAGAAACTGGGAACTATATAGGAAGGGTCGGCAAAGGGCAAGATAGTAGATTTTATAGGCTTTGTAGGCCAAGAGACAGAAGTGAGGCTATTATAGTGATACTTATATAACAGTATAAAAAACTCATTTCCACAAATTTTAATGACAAAATTAAAAATATAATAATAAGTACAGTTTTTTTGTATTACAGGTCTGTTAATGAGAAGAATGGAATTCTTTTTGGGGGAATAACATTTTGCTTAATTGGGGTTCAAAGTTAATGTTTCCTATCACAAAAATCGATTGTAAATGTTCATCTATTAATATGGATCTGTAATGAGATTTTCCATATTTCATCTTTGAAAATGTCTTTTCACACAGATAAATACCATCAAATACTGATAGCAGTCCGTGAGCGTATGATTTTAATTGAGCCAAAAAAACTAATAATCTTAAACGAGTTTATTTTGTCTGGACACATTTCTTCAACTGTTGTAACCAGACTCAATTTAATTAACGCACCAGCAGTAAACAGCTTTCCTTGCTTGAGTAACAGATGAGCCATTCGGAATCTTACTTTGGTCCCAGCTTCATTTCCATTTTCTATTTTTGTCAAATTCTGCTGTGATGAGAAAATCTCTCTTAAAATTTCGAATTGTTCTGTTGTCTGCTTTCCTATGATCTGGGAATATTGGGATGAATGCCTTCCCTGGTAATGTTGATGTATATTGTATTCTTTTGGCATCCCTCTACTATTGTTGCATTATAAACACGATGCTAATTCAATAATAAAATAGTGCACACTCCACTGAGTCCTAAAAGCACAACCGTGGAAGTCTCCTTTTGTTTTCTTGGGTTGCCATGATGGGTGTCCTCTGGTAAAGATAACATAAAATTGCAGAATGGTGACAAGGGTGGCGCTGAGTTCTAATTGCCTTGCTGCGATTGGCAGTGCGCCTGAGCGGCAGCAGCAGGACTCAGCGCCACGTGCCATCTCTGTGGCCCCTCAACTCTGCCATTGTGTCAGAAAAGCCGCAGAGACAGTGAGCACATAAATAGTACTTTACTGAAAGAATACAGACATGCCAATGTCACATAGTTTTCATTTCATTAAAGATTATTCTTCATTTGATTTTTTTCCAACTATTTAAAAATATAAAAGCCATTCTTAGCTCATGGACAGGAGGATATATTTAGTCCGCGGCGTGCTGACTACTAGGATACAGCAAACCTCATTGCATTCATGTTCCGGTCAGCCTGGCCATTTCCCTGCCTTTGGACTTTTGGGTCTTGTCTAGTTTTTTCACTCCTAAGTATAGTGAAGCTATAAATATTTTAATACAAAAGGGTCTTTTTCCCTTTTAATTATTTATTTCCTTGGGAAATATTCTCAGTAGTAGGGCTAGCAAGTCAAAGGATATATGACCTGAGGTTTTTTTTGTTTTGTTTTGTTTTGTTTTTGGCTAGACAGTGAGGTTAAGTGACTTGCCCAGGGTCACACAGCTAGTAAGTGTTAAATGTCTGAGGCTGGATTTGAACTCAGGTCCTCCTGACTTCAGGGCTGGTGCTCTATCCATGCACCACCCAGCTGCCCCATGACCTGAGTTTTTAAAAAAGAAAAAAACTTCTGCCCTTAAGTTGCTTCATGTATATGTTATAACATTGGTGATCTTCCCTTCTCTCAAGGACGTAATTTAGGATCTAGCATTCTTGATGAAATTATTTAACTATTTTCATTTTCAGTTTGAAAATGTACTTTTTTTTAGGGGCAACTAGGTGGCACAGTGGATAGAGCACCAGCCCTTGAGTCAGGAGGACCTGAGTTCAGATCCGGCCTCAGACACTTGACACTTACTAGCTGTGTGACCCTGGGCAGGTCACTTAACCCAACTGCCTAGCTTTAAAAAAAAAAGTGCTTTTAAAAAAGAATCACGACTTTCTTATTTGTTTCCATGTTTAATTGACACTGTTCTGTCTTAAAATTTATCAATGAAGTTTTGAGCAAAGCATGACAATTTTTGTGTCACTCTAAAATACTCTTTTTTGCCCACATTTTAGTGGGTAACATGTTGAATATATTCCTTTTGCACAGTATGGCAATTAAAAATAATCTAGAGAAATGCTGGAGTAACACAAATGAGTCAGTTTACAGTGCTGCACTTAGTAATTTGCCATTCTTAAATACTGAGAATTTCCTCAGGACTTTGTTTCTCAGTCAGTGATTATTACATGGAGAGAAACACCAGCCAAGGGGGTTATTTTAGCCCCTGCCTTTCCCGTTGTGCACAGTGTTTTTTGCATGTGAATGTGTTGTCATTAATACGAACATTTAAATATACCTCGATGTATAAATGTAGTACTTTGGCGGGGGGTTTCCTCTGACTTGAGAAGCAAGGTGGATGTTATCTTCAGATTCGTAAGGAATGCCAACGTGAGTATCTTTGCATTTTTTGTAGAATGGCCAGCAGTCCGGGAGGTCACGCATCTGTTTCCGGTCAGAAATCGACACTTTGGGAATGTTCTCGACCAAAGAAATTGCAGGTCACTGAAGAGGAGCTGTTTTACATGAATTGTAGAGCTGCCTATCTAACTGTTTTTAAAAGCAGTTTAGAAAGTATTGTGTCAAGGGATCAACTTTGCCTAGGTAAACACTCTTTTAATTTTCAGCATATGTGTTAATTTTCACTTGTAAATTGAGAAAAGCAAAAAGATGAGATGTAGTATTTCAATCCTAAATTGTTTTCGTTTCTTAATAAACTTGGCTAATAAAATCATACTCTTTTTGGATGACCATATGCTACAAAATAAAGCTCCAAAATTATAAAATAAAAAATCAAGCAAATGCCATGTTGTAAAAGCTTAAAGTTTTTGTTTTATTTTGAGTATATTTTAAACTATCATTATCTAGGGATTAGTGCTTTACAATGATATAGTTAGAAGCTTTTACATTCTAAGTAAGTTTGAATTTCACTGATTTGAGGGAATGAATGATAAAGAATTGATGAGGCCTTCCTATATGACACTTAGCAGCGTGCTGAGCACTGGGGCTACGTACAGACCCGAAGGAGAAGCCTGCCACCCAAATGAGAGAGTGGTCTCCGGGGAAGGGAATCCGGTCTGGGAAGTCACTGGCGCAGTGATTTGATGTATAGGGCAGCCCGATGACACACCTTAACAGAAGCAATGATACCGTTGACTTGATTGCTGTATCCAGAAGAAGGAGGAGAGAGAGGCTGCACCTCTCAGCAGGCAGATCACAAAGTGGCTTAGGTGGACCGCCATATAGAAGGTGAAGGTGAAGGATGCTCTAGCCTGGGGCCTGAGGCCAGCTGGGTAGAATGGGCTGACTCAGTTTTCACTCCCTCAGTCACCAGTTAAGATGTCTGGGCTATAGAGCAGGAGTTCCAAAGATGAGTGAATTCATTTTCCTAAGTACTAGGAATCCAGTGCAGAAGGTAATGGTCTAGACAGGAAGAAGCAGGACAGTAAGAGCAGGTCAATGGCAAGGTGGCTTAGCTGGGTGAGCAGGTAGGAAATCTGTGCAGGGTCTGGGGCCAGCAGACATAGATGATGAGAAAAATTTGCAACTACATGGTCACAGTCAAGATGGCTGAGGCCCATGCCGGGAAGGATGAAGGCAGAGAGAATGTTTGAATTATGCCGCTGGGTAAGTATTTGAAGGGGGGAAAGAGAGAACAGAATGAAGGGACAAGAAGGAAAGGAAAAAAGGAAGAATTTATTGTTGTTGTGTTGTCGCCCCTTATTACATGTCCCCTGTGGACTGGTCCTAGGAAGTCTTAGAACATGCTCAGGCCCATCTATGCGAAAAGACAAGAAGGCGTAGGCATCTTAGTGTGTGGTGGTGAAGCACGTTGTGACCATCTGTAGGTAAGGCTTCTGATACTTTGGGCATTAAGGCCGGAGATGAACACAGGAACCAGGCTATTCTCTTCACTTAGTAAGGCATTTCTTTAAGACAGAATTTTGGCATGCTGCTAGAGTTGAAGAAGGGAATTCTGTGCTCTCCTTCAAAGACTTCCATTTATGGGGCCACATGGGATGAGTTCCTGAAGTAGTCCTTAAATGCCTACTATGTGCATGTCATTGGGGGTTAGAAAGATGAAAAACATCACAGTCCCTGCCCTCAGAGAGCCGACCTTCAGTGGTGGGATCATGCCAAAGAGCCTATAGGAGCCGGGCCAGTTCCTTTCTCCTTGACCAGAAGATGGCCCAAGGGGTGGTTTGTGGTCCTGGGCCATACCTTTGTACTCCTCGGGTTCTTGCCCTTGATTCTGTCTCTGCACACGGGTTTTCTTCAGATCTGAGGCAGCTGCTATGTTACTTGTGCATCCACACTGGTCTCTTCAGACAGCCCTTTTTTTACTTCCTATATTGTCTCTCTTGTGTTTTCAGAATTTCATTCATGAGAGTTTCTTATCTCTCCCGGACTAACTTCTAAAGAATTTCAGTCAGTGGTGTGCCACCCATCTTACTCTGAACCCTTTGAAATCTGTTCTCTCACAATCAAGTTAAGTTATTATCCGTGTTCAACTGGGCAAGCTTGGGCAGAGGGAAGGAAGAAACACGCAGGTGCATGCAAGAGAGAGAGAACAATTTAAAAAAGGTGAGCAGCCTCACCCACCGTTTTATTTTCGTTTGGTTTCAGTTCTCAAGTGCCTTTTATAGAGTAAGCATCTTGCTGCCAAACGTGAGTCTAGAATCTTCTGTTTATGAGATCCGTAGGCAGTCTATTCATTGCCTTTAGGCAAACTGAACCAAGGTTCCTTCTTCATTGGAATTCCTGTGGTTCCTGCCTGATCAGCTAGAAGATCCCTGCTGTGTTCCTCCCCTTTGGCTTCCTCCACTTCTCCCTTTTCTCCTAGGGAAGCAAGAAGAAATAGTTCTGTGCTGGTGTGATCCATTTCTAATGCAAGGTGTGAAGCTCTGTCAGGATGGTTTTGTCCCTAACCGTTGCTTTTCCTGCCAGCTAAGTTTTAGCTGCTTTTATTTTCTTCCATTTGAAAAGGCACCCTGATTCTTGTCTCTTTCCTGATTAATAGCTTAGTGAAGTACTGTGGAGGGAAAAGACATTTCGGTGTGTCTGTGGTACCCATCTTAGATCCATCTGCTTCCCAATACTGACTGCCTTCTAAGTAGAATGAGACCCTAGCCCGGGGGTGGAGAACCTGCAGCCTTGAGGCCACATGTGGCCTTCTAGATCCTTAAGCATGGCCTTTTGACTGACTCCACGGTTCCCCACCCCAGCCCTAGCCCCTTTCTTGGTATAAGTATTTAAAGGTACTGGACTTCGTGTGTGATTGAAGGGATTTGTAAGGCTGATTTTTGCCTAGAAGCTACTTTTGGAAGCTGGCTTCCACGTAAGCTGTATCCGCAAGGTGCAGCTACTACATTTCGAGCTTTCCTGTCTGTCTTTCTGTCTTTCTCACAGACTAAGAGGAAGCTCACTGCCCCCAGGGTCCCAGGCGCTTCCACCCATGCCGCGTCTTACTCACAGTTGGTGAGAGTGGCATCCAGAGCAACTTTCTTGGCTCTTCTGTCTTTTAGAGATCATCATGTGAGCAAGCTGGTTAGCTGCTCTGCTTTTGACAGAGACTGATCAAGGAGACATCTTGATCATTGTCAAGATGCTAAAGTGGTCCAGTGGATAGAGCACGTGGCCTGAAGTCAGGAAGACTCGGGGTTCTGGCCTCAGACCCCTTCTAGCTGTATGAACCCAAACGGGTCACTTCACCTCAGTTTACCTCAGTTTCCTCATCTGTAAAATGGGGTTCCTAATGGCACCTGCCTCCCAGGGTGAGGATCCAGTGACATGATGGAAAGTGCTTCGCAGACCTTCAAGCGCTGTACAGATGCTGGCTGTTACAGTAACTGAAGTCTGTCTTCATTCTTCTGGGGCAGATCAGGGATGTCTTTCCTAAGTTCTCCTACTTCCTCTCTCAGTCCAGGCCTGTAGTGGGTGCCAGTGATACCATCAGTCCTGGTTCTTCTCCACTGGTCTTCACCCAGATGTGTTCCTCCGTGCCTCCCTCCTCTGATTTCTGAATTTCCTCTGAATTTCCTCTGAATTTCCTCTGCCCCTTTCACTAATCCTGTTTCTCTTGAATGAGCCATACCTGTTCGAGCCAAATTCTGGTCAAGGCTCCGTGACACCTACGAGGTCAAGGTGGCTTCTTCACTTAGCACCTCTAGTTCCTGTTGCTGCTTGTTGTCTGAACTTTGGGCCTTCTTATGAAGATGATGGAGGACCTGGACCATAGTGCTGGCTTCTTTCTTATGACTCTTTCCCCATGGAGCTTCTGGGCGCTTTTATCTCTCTGCTTCCCACGTAGTTTGGTAGATGTACAGAAACAGTTTTCTCTCTTCTCCATCCTTTTTTACTTTAAAACTCCCTGTTGATTAAATTCACAAGACTCCAAATGCATTCTAAGCCCTTGTTTAGTGCATTCTGTCTCTAACTAGGAACCTTTTACTTGTGTATTTTAAACTGCGGTCCAGAAATCCAAATCCCACTTTCACATGCCCTCTTTTCAGCTGTAAGTCACTTCCCAGGTCTGCTATTATTCCATCGGTATCTCACCCGTTTCCCTCTGGACTTCAGTTTCTTGCCCAGGCTTTTTACGCTTTGGCAAAGGGAAGCTAATTTCAGTGACCAGAAGTTGGTGGTAGTTATTTACAAGCCTTGGGAAATTTTAAGATACCCACCCTAGGATGATGATTGACCTCTCTGTGTTATCAGGCCAACAAAAGGACACGTCAAATACCTCTCAGCCAAAGGAACCACTAGCAGCAGCCGCTGTTCCCTCCCTCCAGTGTGGTTCTCGAAGATTTCTGGGGGCAAAGGCATGGGGAATTGGGGGGAGATGGAGTCAGCTTCCTCTAGGACATGGCATGTGATGTGAACTTGAAGGAAAACCAGAGACTTCTATGGGAGAGAGAGGTGAGGAGGGATTCCAGGCATGGGAGAGTATCTGCCAAGGCACAGAGGCAGAGGATGCCAGATGCCTTTGGCATTGTAAGTGATTGATGAACCCTGATATCGACCAGTTACTTTCATTTTGAGTTGTTAAATATTGAAGCTTTAGAAACTGTTCTAAGGGGCAGCTAGGTAGTGTAGTGGATAGAGCTCCAGCCTTGGAGTCAGGAGGACCTGAGTTCAAATCTGACCTCACACACATAACACTTAACTTAGCTGTGTGACCCTGGGCAAGTCACTTAACTCCGATTGCCTCATGAAAAAAAAAACTGTTCTACAAATTTCTCCGACCCGTGGCGAGGTGGGTAGGTGATCTCTTAGCAAATGGGCTTACCAAAAGGAATTCCCAAGATCTCTTAGAAGAGGTGCTCAAGGTACAGAAGATATTTTGGCTGGAGGACAGCTTTCTATCCCCTCAGCGTCGTGAGAAATGTTCCCAATGCAAAGACTCATTAGCATGCATCGCCACTAACTCCAACCACGGAACAATTAGCCCTTCATACTTACTCTGCTCTCCTGAGGGGTAAAGACAAATTTGGGGCAGTCCTGACCAGCGATTTCACAGCCATCTTGGGGCTTGGGTCTCACAAGGTCGGGACTTTTTGGCCAGTCAGGCACGGTTCTTTGGTCCCATCAGGTTCGGGATGACCTTTCAGTGATTATCTCCTCTGAAAAGTGGTATGCCCTGTGGGAAGCACCTCCTAACGGGGAGCAAGAGCCGCTCAGGGGCCTTGGCACTCAGGCTAAAAGATGGCTGCCACGGCTGGAAGTGCCCTTACCAGGATCGCTGCTCACTGGCTGCAGCCTGTATTTAGGGAGGGAGACCCAGAGCCGATGAGGATGGCTCTTTTGGGCTGACTTGCTCCATGTTTTTAGCCAACAACCCCCATGACCACAGAAGTCTAAAGCAGAGCTGAGAGACGCCCAAAGCTGTGTATTCAAACATACTCTCCTTAGCGCAGTGTCGGGCACACAGTAGGCACTTAATAAATGTTTATTGACTGACTTATCCAGCATCCTCAGTGGGCAACTCTCCCTGTTTCAGTCTCCAGTTATCTTTGACATGGCCCTCCAGATACAGATGCCATTGAAGGATTGCTACATCGTTCCAGAAAGAGGCCGTAGCACATTCCGAATTCAAAAAGAAGGCCCAGGTTCGGCAGATTGGGGAGCTCCCTGACCAGCCCTGTTCCCATTGGACTATTTCAGCACTGGGCAGTGTATAGGCGTTAAACGCATATCAGTGCATTAAATAAATACGTGCGTGTTGATACGACTTCTGACATGCTGTTACTCACCTTCCCTTTGGTGTTAGCACCAGTCCAATATGTTTATAGTTTACACTTTTCCTTTACTGAAGCATTTATTTTGCCAACCAATGGATGTGTATTATCAGGGTATTAGTTTTACAGGTTTATGTGGAAGGATAAGAAGTTAGCATTTTTCTTATATAAATTCTTGGTGCTAAGACAGAGCCCCCTTTGTAGCATGCTAGCACGCTTTGTTTGAGATAATCTGAATGTCAGCATAGAAGCAGTGGGAGCAAGGGTCAGGGCTCCTTTGTATTCTGCAGCTTTCGACTGCATCCTCATGCCACTTAAACCCATACTACGGGTGCTCACATTTCCATTTAGAGGTCAGCAAAAATTGACAATTAGGGGCGTGACTTGAACATTTTTAAACTTGTGAATAATACAGTCATTATAGGTTCATGTCAAAGCTTAAAGTAAACTCAGGCTGAAGATTAGGTCTGTGGGGTCAGTCTTGAAGTATCTCAAGTTACATTATGTTTGTATTGTAAGTTAAACTCTGCTTTTCATTCAAATACTTATCCATGATAATGAATTCTTAAAATGGATTTTTAAAAACTGCTGAACAGTTCACAGAAATAGGAATGTCTAAATAGAGAGTATATATTTATGTGCATGTATCATATATATGTATATGTATATATATATATATATATATACATATATATAGAGAGAGAGAGAGAAAGAGAGAGAGAAAGAGAGAGAGAGGGAGAGGGAGAGGGGGAGAGAGAGAGAGAGAGAGAGAGAGAGAGAGAGAGAGAGAGAGAGAGAGAGAGAGAGAGAGAGAGAGAGAAGAGAGGAGACAGAATTCGCTTTGGTAGCTATTACTATTTGTTATTACTATGTACTATAATTCCAATCTTCAAAGAGGAGAAGTAAACTTACATTATTTTTTTAAATGCATACCAAAACAGCTATTCAGTTACTTGTTGTTCAGTCATGTCTGACTCTTGGTGACCCCATTTGGGGTTTTCTTGGCAAAGAGGCTGGAGTGGTTGGCCATTTCTTTCTCCAGCTCTTTTTGCAGGTGAGGAAACTGAGGCAAACATGATTAAGTGACTTGCCTGGGGTCATCCAGATAGTAAGTATCTGAGGCCAGATTTGAACTTATGAAGATGAGTCTTCCAGCTTCAGGCCGGCCGCTCTATCCACAGCACCACCTAGTTAGTTACTTACCTGCTCACATGCTAAAGTAGTGACTTTGTGAAGGTCCAAGATAGTATTAACAAGTGTTAACCTCTGTTGCTGCTGCTGTGCTGCTGCTCATGATTTTATGGGATTTTTAGGGAAGAGAATGTGTTAACTGTTTCTGTTAAAATGTTCCCCGTTTCCCAAAGCCATCTCTGAATATCTCCCCAAATTTCTGCCTATTTCAGAAGCTGTTAGTTGGATGCATCAAAGGTGGCAGGTACACTTTTAGAGAGGATGGAAATTGACTTTGTGACTTGGACTCATCATGACAAAAAGTGGTCATCTTAGCATTGAGTTGTTTGAAAACTGGGTTTGTAGAGGGAGGAGTCTTACTTGTTTTCCTTTTTCCTTTTATAAAAAGGTAAAAAAAAAAACCCCAACAACTTACCTTTGTGTACCTCTGGGAATATAGTACCACACCAAATTCCAAGAGGAATCATTTCTTTTTCCTCTCTATCCAAGTGGTCCATTTTACCCACCTTGATTCTGCTCAAACTCTAGTAATTATGTGTATCTGGGTTCCCCATAATCAGATACCCAGTTTGCTTGTCAACTGGTCCTACACATGCCTGAATAAATAAAATGGTGAATTAGAGAGGTATTTCTTTGCTGTTTCTGTGGCTGGTTTAAAATTACCTTCAACCTAGACAACCCCCAACACAGGCTAGATCCCGTCCTGAAAGTTTCTGTAAGCAGTTGTTAAGCCTTTATATGTGCCTTTCTTTTTTAGGCTATTATAGTAAAAAGCTGTTTTTCGCTATTTGCCAGTATTTCCCCAAAGCACTTAGTAAAATATTTTGTACAATGGGTGAAGAATTAAAATGTTGACTGATTTATAAGGGTCTAGGTGTGCTACCCTGAATCTAGCTAGTGTGTTTGTTGTACCAAGAACACCTCTTGTAACTTCAGATCACTTGAGGTTCATTCACTCAGAGTGAATCATGAAATTACTGACCTAGATCATTTTTCTGGGTCCTGAAAATATGCAGGTGATCCTGCGAAATCTTGTCTAATGGAGCTAGTAGTGTGTTTTTCATTTTCATTTTTTCTGTCTCCAGTGCCTAGCAGAGTGTCTTGCACATAGGGGTGATTATGCAGTGTTTGTTGAATTCAGTTGGATATGAGATTTTATGAGACATGAGAATCCTGAAGTAGAACGAGTCTGCTTCTTATTTTTGTGACTTCGAGGCTGATTACCAAGACGTTAGATGTACTAGATAATGGATATTCTTAACAATCAGACATATGTATGTTCTGCAGCATTTCCCTTTGGGGCTTATGTTATATGGTCATTATGTTAAAAATCTGGCCATCCTCCATGATAAGATCAGCGTACCTAATTATAGAAGATATTTAAGACTACTCAAAGCCGTAGTTAGCAGTATTTCAAAGTGTTTCTGCCCTTCAGTTGTTTTTTGAATGGCCTCAAAATGGTTTTTAAATTTGAATAGGTTATCCAGACTTTAGACTAGATGACCTCTAACCCCAGAATTCTGTGATTCTAAAAATGGACACATTTCTGTATGTGGGCTAGAATCTAGCGTATATCTAAGACCTTGCAAAGGCTCTTGGCCAACAGTAATTGGAAAACGGATTATTCCTGGTTTAACACTATTGTTCTCAATCTAATGATTTTTAAATTTAACTGCTTATTTGGCATTTTAAACATGTCAAGAGTATTTATTAAGCCTGTCAAAAAAGGTAAGTTGTATTTTTGTGTTTACTCTTCTGTTCCCAAGTTTCAGGTTTTTAAAAAAAAAATAATCTTTTGAAATTCTGAGTCCTCAATTAATCAAATTTAAAAAACCATCAAGTTGTGAACTGAGATATCAAAGTTAGTCTGTTTAGTTTTTTGCTTTTATTAATGACATTAATTAATGGACTTGGGATTTTTTAATTTCCATTTTTGAAAAAATGAATACACCGTAATAACATTTAGTTATTAGCATTAAAATTATATGTGTGTGTGTTTGCTCAGTTTTGTAAAAAAAAAAAAAGTGAAGATAACTGGAGGTGGGGATTATATAATTCAGGGCCCAGTATAAAGTTGGCAAACTATGTAATATTCTTTTTTACGTGGCAGTACTTCAGAAGGCAGGAAGAAATCCATCCCAAAAGACGATTGATAAGTACTGGACTCCTCAAACCGCTAAGCTGAATTTTGATGATTTTTGTGCAATTTTAAAAAAGGAAAAACCTACTTCAAAATCAGAACTGTTAAAAGCGTTTAAGAAAATAGATGTGAATAATGACGGCTATATTTCACACGCTGACCTCTATAAAATTCTTACAAAGGTAAGCCCTGTGAAGTCACTTTTTTTCCTAATCTATTTCAGGAGAAGTGGGTCAAGCAGGCCCATTTCTGCTATAGAAACATGTTTGTAACTCAGCTTTGTCGACCATTTGCGTCCACATCAGAGCTAACTGCGTTTGGGTGGTAAGAGAAGTGAATCACGCAGATGTTGTTCTAAAGTGCTTTGGGATCCTTCTGAGCGGAAGGCGCTTTGTAAATGAGAGCCGAAGTAGTGGCTCGGGCCCCTGTCGAGGTTTCCTTTGCGCCTCCGAGTAAGTCCGTGCCGCCCCGCTCTCTGAGCGGCAGGGATTGATCCACGGGAGGGAGAAACGGCATCTGCAGAGACTGGCACCGGAAGTCATTTTGCGGTGGGCCGTAGCGTTAGGAAGCATCGTTACTCCAGGTGCAGTGTCGTATTTTATTTGAGCTATAATGCTTGGTCGTAATTGGTAAACAGAAACTGAACGCAAGCGCCGAGCATTTGATGGTGTCATTAAGTGAGTGGTAACACAGAACGGCTTTGTGCTTGGAGGTCACCTGCTAAATGGCTCCCACCCTTGGACAAGCATCAGCTCCCAAATTTTTCATTGCTGTTCTTTTCGTGGCTAATTATAAAAATGTTATTTCTCTAAACTGATATATTTTAAACTAAAATAATTTAGACATTTTGAAATCGAATTTGTTTTCACAGAGAGGTGAGAAAATGACACCAGAGGAAATGAATGCTATAATAAACTTGGCTGATATAAATGTTGATGGCAAACTTGACTATATTAAGGTACGTGGTAAGTAAGCTTAGGTATATGTAAACTTGCGGTATTGGTGAGGAAAGAATATTGTGGTAGGCCAGGTATCCTTTGAAAGTTTGCAGCAACCTGCTATATATTGTTAACCAATCTATTTTAGGTTGAATATGTCTTCAGTTTCAGCTTATTTCATATCATACTCTGGCACAATAATTGTATTTTTAAAAAAATGTAACAAGAGTTCTAGAAACCTATAAAAACTTATCAGAAATGCAGCTTTTCAAGAAAATAAAACCATAAAAATTATTTAGAACAAACCCGAGTCTGCACATGTCTTATAAAAAAATAATAAATCACCTCTCAGGGTGTACCACATTTTATTTTCACTGTGTGACCTCCTCATTGAATCATGGCTGCATTTCCCCGGGTCACTTGAGAGTGGTCAATCTGATCCAAGAAAATAAAATGAGTAGCTCTGTTCCATTGGAAATGTCTTCCATCTATCAGTCTATCCCTTACCTACTAATGCACATTTCTCCCTCCCCTTCCTAAAATGTATGACAGAACGTTTTTGCCCACTGGATTATTTTTCTGTTTCCTGTAGTTTTGTAAATTATACGTGGCAACCAATGATCAGTGTCTCAAGACTGCATTAGAAAAACTGGAAATTGATAGTAAAATGAGGCTTCAGCAATTAGGAAGTCACCTGGAAGGATCTCCTGAGAGTGGCATATCACCGATATCAAAACTATCCCCGAGAATCCCAAGGAATGTTGGTCAGAAAACCGTGCTCAATAGAGGTATTTACTTTTACGGCTGATAATGTTCTACTAAAGAAAAACGGTTCAACTTAAAATACTTTTTAAAAAATCAGTAATTCTCTATTAAACTTGAACAAGGTATTTGTTGTTGCTACCATTTATAGACACTTCAAAATTCCATGAAAGTAAAGTTTATGATAGAACTCAGTTGAGGTTGCTGTATTTTCTCTAGGAACAAAATGTAGATTACAGAGTAACAATCTAGCAAAAGGCGTGTATTCGTATTATAAAAATATGCAGTGAGACTAGTTGTGCAGACAGTTATATAATTGCTGAGCAAGTCACTCAGTCCATCTGTGCTTCAGTTTTTGCATCTGTAAAATAAAGAGTTGTCCATTATGGCCTTTAAGGTCCTTTCCAGCCCAATCCGTGATCTTGTGACCCCACTTTAGACAGTAATTACATGACTCTTGCCTTCTTTTCCATAGGGAATACACAGAAAGGATTGCTCAAGTGGGTCCTCGCTATTATTTATGCAGTAGAGACAAGATTCATATTGATAACCATTCAAGAATATGGTGAAAGAACAGAATTGAACAGTTATTAAAAATGTGTTACAGGTGATGGCCGGAATTCTTCTCTGCAGCTAGCGGCTCAAAAGCACAAATCATCTGTTTCTTTCAGTGTCAGCACAGGGGCTAACAGCTGTAGAAACGCAAAGCTACTGGAGCCAAACTCAGTAAAGGTAGGATATTTTAAATCAGAAATGGGGGCATTTGGGGGTATTTTTTTTTAACACTTCTCAGTGATTTATAGTGTTTCAATGGGTCTGCAAATTAATTCCTTGACGTTTTTTGTAGAGGCATAAACATTTGCACTCCATATTTAAAACAACTTTTCTGGTTTTAAAGTGGAAATGGTAATATTTTGATGAGAACTTTAAAGAGAAACGTGATTTATTCTGCGTTGTTTTACCTGATTAAATAAATGCACCATTAACCCTAAAATACTTAATTTTATTTAACAAATAATTTATCTCAGTCCTTTCTTTTAAATAAATCACCCATTCAATGTCAGTTCCTGTGGGAAAAAGACAACAAAGTCACTTTGCTAAGTCAATATTTGTAGAGTGTTAATATTGATCTTTTTCTTTTGTTTTTCCTTTCTTGACTCAACCTTTACTAGTTTTCTTTCAACAGAAAATAATAGCTACAGAAATATAAAACATTAACTGGAAACTGCTAGGATACATTAAAAATGTGCACCTTGAGACCTCTGTTAAAGGGGGAAAAATGGTTATGACCACATAGTATAACTGCTGTTAGAAAACTGAACTGATTGTCCTCATGAGCTACATTTTGTTTCAAATAACAACTCTGTATTTGTTATTGAACTCTGAAGTCCCTTATATCTTTAGATTGCTAGACAGTGACATTTGTTCTATATTAAAATTTTAAAACATTGTCTCCGAGGAATTGTTTTCAGTCTGTTTAGGAATCCATACCCCCCAAGCAATTTAGCGTGCACACTCACCGTGTTCAAACGTAATATTTAGTGTCCAGCAATGTGACTTTCTACCATTGGAGCGTTCTTCTGTTTCCCAAACACGAAATGTTAAAATAAAATTCCAAATACTTTCAAAGATGATGTGTATGTAACGATCAAATTTATAATTAGTGACAGCATAGAAATGGAAAAAAAAAAACGTTGTAAAGTGTCCTTTGTAAGAGGCAGCTAGGTGGCGCAGTGAATAGAGCACCGGCCCTGGCGTCAGGAGTTCAAATATGACTTCAGACACTTGACACTTACTAGCTGTGTGACCCTGGGCAAGTCACTTAAACTCGATTGCCTAAAAAAAAAAAAGAATATCCTTTGTAAATACTAATAAGAATTTTCTCTCCGTATCATCTTGTCATCTCCAAAATTTGGTTATTTGGTCCATATTATTTGGTCCACACCATTGACAGTACATTGTCTTTGAAAGAGGAATTTAGTTTTCAAATAATTAGACTTTAAACCTAATGTTCATAACCATTATTTGTAATTATTCTTTTGTTCTAGAACTACAGTTAAACAGATGTTTGGGTCTGTTTTCCAGTGACATAATTGAGGTTGTAATACTGAAATGACGTCAGGACTTCCTCTAACCACATTTCCCTAATAGAGAATAGGAATAACCAGAATTATACTAGATTCTGCAACACTGCAGGTTGTCCTGTGGCAAAGCCAAGTTCAGAGACAAAGAACCGTGGCTTAAGCAGTTATAGACCAAAATCAATTATTTGTAAATAGGGTCAACAAGAAAATGATACAGGATCAGTCTTCATCTTCTCAGTGGCTTTGGGGAGAGGGCTACTCTGGAGGGTGAGTATGAGGAGGAGGGCAACCAGGTGGGTGAACATGAGGACCTCTCCATGAAGACTCACGAGGGCCCTAGAGTTGTGTGGGTCACTGTATAGATTCCTGTGATGTAGGGCAGGGCCACATCAAGGGGCCTCCAAGCCCCTTCCAACTCTCCAATTCTGCAATTCTGTGACCAGAAGGGAGCAGCTGTGTCGTCTCAGAGGACAATAGGAGGTCCAGATAAAAGATGCAGAAGCCGGGCTCTTTGAGCCAGTGTCTGACCTGTGACCTTTGTGTCACTGGTCTGTGTACCTGTGCCGCTAATACTTCTGGGATTCCTGTCTGTCCTGGAGCGTGCCGGACAAGGTGCAGTCAGCCTCCAGGGCACCCCCCTGGCCCTTCCTGAGCTCCTGCTTCTCCTAGCATCGTCTATCACTTTGCTTTCTCTTGCCCTCTGGGCCACTGACCACTGGGATTCCCCCGAGACCATGACGTCGATTGCCTCTCTCATAGTACATAGTGATCTCTTACTTACACTTTGGTTACAACGGATGGTGAGAAAACACTTCCATCCAGATTGGTGTCGTAAAGGCTACCAGCGTTCCCCTCTGTGCCTGTAGGCTTCCCATGTGCACACGTGGTATTATAGGCCACTATTTCAGGATGATTTCCTAAAGGTGTTGGAGTCCAACAGCTGCCAGTGTTTGTGGGTGACAATGTGGACTCTGAGCTGTATTTGGTAGAATCCATCTTATTTTAAAAAATCGGGAATTAGGGCTTCCTGCCTCAAGTCCCTCTGTCTCTCTTTCCCTCTCCATCTCATTGTTTCTCTATGTGTGTTTTCTCCATCTGTATTTTCTTTTCCATTAGTCTCAGACTGTGGGTCCACATAAGAGTAATTCAGACAGAGAAAGAATTTTGATACTGGAATTTTTTGTTTGCCAACTAGGTTAAAGAATATGCTGATTTTCCCTGTTTGAGGTCCTAGAATCAGAGAACTTTGAGCTGGGAGGGACTTTAGTGTAGTTGTCCTGTCCCTTGCACTTTGAGGTGGCCAAGCCGAGGCTGGGTGAGGTTAACTGAGTTACAAAGGGCAGACAGGCACTCGCTGGGCAAGCCCAGGTCTCCTGACTCCCCACCTGTGTCTTCGTACTCTGCCTAAATTCTGCGAAGAAACACGTCTAGGTCTTTTCTTTGGTGCTGTGTCAAAGGTCACAACTCCTTGGAGGAGTTGTCTTGTGGACTTGCAGACAGCTCCTGGCTGTGTGCTTGTGGCATCGGACTCCCTTCTTAAGTCAGGGGTACATGCTAGTGTGTCTAGGCCTTGTTCCAGCACCTCACTTGGCTTTCTGATCATTGCCATAAATTTGATTGCCAGAAGAACAATCCTTTTTTTACTAACCTTTAAAAAGTATTCTCATTGATACCTTTAAACAGATGGTAATTTAAAATGTCAGGTTTACTGGTTTTTAATTTGTTCTTTTCAAGTTGCCTTCTAAATTATGACCAATAACATATTTGTGTCTTGCAGAGGATAACACAGTGGTTCTCTTTAGGTTGGCATGATTTGCCTGATTTGATAGTGTATAGTGCCACCTTATGCCCTCTCGAAGGAAAAACAAGCTCCTGGTTTTTTCTTTCATTTTGATCAAAGAACAGCTTGCTCGACATATGCATTTCTTACTGCTAATACTGAGACAAAAAACTTCTGCTCAGCCTCGTGCTGATTTACTTGCTGGAACATTCTGGCTCCTTGTTTGATCCAGAAGATGCCGTTATTCTCATTTCAGTTGAAATGGGCATAGAATTTTGCATAGAATTTTACCTAGAATTATACCTTTTGTATACACTTACACAAATGATATACTTTGAGGCTCAGAAGTGAACTTGTATTGTTTTGATTTTCCATTGGATCATTTCATTTGCTACTTAATTTTGTCTTGTTGCAAAGATGCTGAAGCTTGGCTGGACGTTAGTGCTGCAGCACCAGAACCACTCCAGGGGCCTCTGAGACTGCGGGGACAGCAGAGGTTCTTTCTGTCAGAGCGGCAGCCTGGGGTTCCTGGGAAGTGATGTTCCTCTGCCCCTCTCTCCTACAGCCTGAAATTGCTGCCCTCTTCCACCCTTGTCCCACAGCATTAACTCCCAGTTAGACTTCACAGATCTGCCTGCACTGTTTCTGCTCAGCAGCATCTCCCTGTGGATCCTTCCCCTCCCCGAGAGCAAAGAGTGAAAGCAAAATCAGCAAAACTGGCCACCCCCGAGAGAATCTGACGTTCCAGGCAGTCTTCCACACCCAGAGCTACAAATACGATTTCCTTTTATCTTCACAGCCACCCTAGAGATAGGGCACCCTTCTTTTACAGAGACAAGTGGAGTGACTTGCGTAGGGTCACGCAGCTAGCAGGCGGCAAAAGCTAAATTTCAGCTTCCATCTGGCTCCAGGCCCAGCACGCTGTGCCCTGTGGCGCCTCCTAGCGGCCAGAGCCCCCCCCTTCTGAAAGAAGTGGGGGGAGAGGTCCTGCCGACATTCTTAGGGGATTCTTGACCTTTCATCTGCATTTGGAGTTCAGAAAAGAATCTTATTACCATGGGATCGAGATGCTGGCTGACATTTGGATGGGGCTGTAAAGTGTACGCAGCATCTTCCGTGCATTTTTTTCATTTGATCCTCTCAATACCCTGAGTTAAGACCATCAGGTGGGGTGGTCCTCGCTTTACAGATAATGAAGTTGAGACTTTGGGAGATGAGTGACTTTGCCTGGGTCACACTGCCTTTTAAGCAACAGAAGAAGAATTATAAGCTGGGGTCTTGGGCTACAGGTCACTGGAAAAATTAAATGCTGGCATGTGGCGCAAATCAAAGTTTGCAGGGCAGTTTTCCCTGGAGTCAATTGTCTCCAGAAATACCCCAAACGCACTGAAAAGCTCCTTCTTTCCTGGATCCCAGAACGGAAAAGGAGCTGCTTTGAAAGTCATTGTGTGCTCAGACTTTTTCAATGTAGCCATCAGTTATGCTGATTTTTTTCCCTCTCTATAAAATACTATTTGTCATACGAGATGGTTCTTTGGAAGGGGAGGGAAAAGGCTCGTTGGGATAACTATGGTGATGTAAGAAACAGAAGACGTCATTAAAACGTATTAAAAAAAAAAGTAATCACAGCCATGCCATTAGCACCAAATGAAGGGCCTGTATGGGCTGTTACACCTAGCTTGCTAAGGTAAACTGTTGTTGAGATGGGACTGTTGGACAGATCGTGAGGCCCAGGGTCCCTTTGGCTTCAGTTGCTTCCTCTGTAACGTGGGTTTGACAGCACTTTCACTAGTAGCTCTGCAAGACTTTCCTTTTTGGCTCAGACTTGTGGTTTTCTCTCTGTGAGGAAACTCTGTCTCCCAGTGCAC